TTACGACAAGCTATAAATATCATCTTAAGATAAATTTTAGTACTTAAAATTACACACAACTTGACACCGAATTTGTTGACTTTGAGGCAATTTTTCACAGATTGTTAATTAGTGCGTACCAAAATGCTACAGTGAAACCAGCAACTTCTGCTGAAAGGTGATTAACAAATCTGTCGGCAAAATCTATGACACCTAGCTTTGCTAACCATCATTCTGGAGACCATAATACTAAAAGCAGCAATTATATACGAAAATGGCATAAACAATATCTTTGAATGAAAATTCATTCTCCCTCTCTAGCTATCAAAACTAATGTGATTGCTGCAACCTGCAAACACTGATTGGAAAAACACCATTGTTGCTGTAGGAAAGTACCCAAGAAACTCCCTTCCTTGCAAGAATTTCTCATCTAATGCAACAGCTGGTTTTCCTAGGAAAAACACTAGTTTGTCACCGAATGACATGCAGAAACCCCACCTTACCCAACATACAAGATGTTGGGCTAAAAGCCTTCAATCCAATCACACAAGCGGAAGCAAAATCAAACAATAAATCAAACATACAAGAGACAACAATTTAACGTGGTTCGATCCAATTAACCTACGTCCACGGATGAGAAACAAGATCCACTAGTTGTAGAGAATTACAAACATACATCAAAACATCAACTTCACTTAACAATCAATACTCATAAGACACTCTTAATCTCTTCTAGTCCTATGGAGTATTCTTAACCTAAATAAACACAAACCCAAACCCTTGTGCACCCTTTTAACATAACCAAACACATACCTATATGCTTTCATACATCATACTTATGTGGACTCTCTCAGTTTCTTCTAGTCCACTCACAAACAAACATACACACTCATAAGATGTAGAGCCTCAATACTCCTATGGAGTGTCTATCCCATAAAATTTTATAACTTTCTTACATCTTTTTCTCATACCTAACCCTGTAGAGACTTCAACTATTTATAACCATACAAACTTACCCATTAAGAATCTCTCTTCTCTTAGAATTCTTCTCCTGTAAGTCAAATTTACCTATAAAAATTATTTTCTTTTTAGAATTCTTCTTTTGCAAGTCAAACTTACCTATTAAGAATCTTTTTTCTTTTAGAATTCTTCTTTTGCAAGTCTTCTTGTCCATTAAGTAATATCTAACAAATCTTAAACAAATCCCAAACAAATCTCTTATAGGATTTGAGTCAATATTCTCAACAATCTCTACCTTGACTCAAATTTCATCAATTATCTATCTTCATGCTAGACATGCTTGGCTTAACCTGCAATAAAAGTCTCACAATTGTGTGTCTTCACGTTTCATACAAACTAATCTTCAATCTTCAAAACTTAAACTCAAACTCTTCTCTTGAATCGAGCTCTTTTGGACTTGCTTCTTCCTATGTCTCAAACCATGCACTTCTCACATCTTAAACCTTTAGCTCTTCCCACATCTCGAACTTTCAGCTTTTTCACGTCTCGAACTTTCAGCTCTTTTCACATCTTGAATCTTCAACTCTTCTCATGTTTCGAACCTTCAGCTATAATACAACTTGTCAGGGAACACCACAGCTCTGATACCATTTGTTGGGAATCACCATTGCTCTGATACCATTTGTTAGGCTAAAAGCCTCCAATCCAATCACACCAACGGAAGTAAAATCAAACAATAAATCAAACATACAAGAGACAACAATTTAACATGGTTCGGTCCAATCAACCTACGTCCACGGATGAAAAACAAGATCCATTAGTTGTAGAGAATTACAAACATACATCAAAACATCAATCTCACTCAACAATCAATACTCATAAGACACTCTCAATCTCTTCTAGTCCTATGGAGTATTCTTAACCTAAACAAACACAAACCCAAACCCTTGTGCACCCTTTTAACATAACCAAACACATACCTATATACTCTCATACATCATACTTATGTGGACTCTCTCAGTTTCTTCTAGTCCACTCACAAACAAACATACACACTCATAAGACGTAGAGCCTCATTACTTCTATGGGGTGTCTATCCCACAACTCTCTTACATCTTTTTCTTATACCAAATCCCGTAGAGACTTCACCCATTTATAACCATACAAACTTGCCCATTAAGAATCTCTCTTCTTTTAGAATTCTTCTCCTGTAAGTCAAACTTGCCTATTAAGAATTATTTTCCTTTTAGAATTCTTCTCTTGCAAGTCAAACTTACCTATTAAGAATCTTTTTTCTCTTAGAATTCTTCTTTTGCAAGTCTTTTTGTCCATCAAGCAATATCTAACAAATTTCAAACAAATCTCTAACAAATCTCAAACAACTTTCTTATGGGATTTGAGTCAATAGTCCCAACACAAGAACCATTGTAAAGGCTTAAAAGGCCATGAAAGTAGAGTTTATAGCCCATTTCTTTTTAACCATGCTTCCATATAGGATCACAAGGCCAGGGATGCTTTGGAGCCCCACCAGAGTTGCGGATGTCATCTGCCATGCATTCTCACCCTTGCCTTGTTCATCCACTCAGGGCTGGCCTCATCAGGTAAAAGGTTTGAAGCTAGCTCCACGGAATGAACAAATGAGGAAGTGTTAATTTCTTGGCATGAATTTTGGTTATGTAATATGATCAAGTATAAAGTTGATTGATTTGTAAGTCCAAATTGAGACGAAATTTAGCGAGAGTATAGCTGTTTTGTATTTTTTTGCCTGGATGTGTTGTTTATTTACTTGTTTTTTTCATTAGACCTTGAGGCCGGCCCTTGCAAGCAAGTTGGCTTCATCTTTGAATTTTCTTCGGTACATGTTGAAATTTGACAGTGACTAGGGAATATGCAAATTCCTAAAATTCTGGAAACATGCAATCATGAAAATCCATCAAAATGGTAGATGTAGAAGGCATAGAATTAATTACAGCTGCATTGACCATTCTAAACCTTTTGTCCCTCCTTCTTTGCAGTGCCGGTTTGGCCTCAAGATGGTAACTGGCAAGGCAGGGTAACCTTCCAGAATTCTAGCCTATACCCTGCAATCGAAACCTGACCGATTCATTTCTCCACCAGTTGCTAATATAAGATGCAATTGCTTTCAACCAGGATTATAATGATCAGTCAATTTAAGAAACTTCTTTGTGTTGGAATGTTTTGGCTTTTATCCATCATTACTAGCAAGTTTTTTCCTTGAAAAAACTTGTATGAGAATGACCAAAAACAAAGAGAAATGGCAATACGTTCTCGAAAGCTTTAGAATGGTAAAAGCAAACTACCATGAAATGATAAATGTCATCTCTTAGTCAAATTCAAAGTCTTTCGATATGAATTGCAGAAACATTTGTTGGATTTTTGTTGGAAGCAAAACGTAAAAAAGCACAAAATGTTAATTGATGATTTCTGAACAGAAGATTTTGTCTCAATGCCGTGTTGGTCACAAGTTTGAAATAAAATGCAGGGAGACAACCAATACAGGAGTTTAAGGAAATCCACCAGCTGTCCTTTGAAATTGTACGGTATGAAGAACATGTTCAAGGAAAGAAGGGAAGTTAGTTGTTGGCTTGGTCCCTAATGTCGGTCCAATTAGGTTAAGATCACTTTTAATAATAATGTAATTAATGGCACTATATATTATTTAATTAACATCTTAGTGTCGTAGCCACTGGAGTTTTGTCTCAACTCTCAAGTGGGAAGAGTAGGATGGGGTTTGGATAAAAACCGAAGTTAGAGTTGCAACGATTATTAACCGTCGATGATATATTTTATGTCGTATGATTTATAAATAAAATATTAAAATTTTAATTTTAATAATTATAGTTTAATATTTCACAACCACAAGTAGAAAAAAAAATTAGGCAAGTTACATTGCATTTTGATTTTTTGTGTGCCTAAAATTAATAAGATTATGACAGTATAATACATAATCAATAGGTGAGATTAAGACCATTCACAATGTTCTTAACCCATTCGTGTGGCGGTCTGTGCTGAATAAGACATGTTTGATAATATAAAATTTCCCATAAAATTAGATTCAATTTATGTGTTGAAAAGACATTAAATAACAAATGAAATATGTGTTTAACGGTTCAAATTCAAAGGAATCAATCGGTTCAATTTTTTTTTTTTTAAACAATGGATCTGTATAATCTTTAATCAACATTAAAATATCTATTATATATACTTTTATGTGATTTTCGTCTCCCAATTGACTATTTAATTTATTTGATATTTTTCTTTACACGTGTTACATGAAGATAGTTGATTAATATCCCCTGAATTATGCAGTGATTTTTTTTCCTCTCCAACTACAATTCCAAATTATTATTATAACAATTTTGACAAGAAAAATTATTACATTTATGATACTAGAGCTTTTAAACCTCATTGTTGGGATTAGAATGGTACATACCCTTTTAAGGTATAATAAAAAGATAAAAAAAAATAATTAAAATAGTAAAATATATAATAATTTTTTTTTTTTTTTTGTAATTAAAAAATTTTGCTATCAATGTATTTAAAACGAACTCAAAAGCAAATTCGGAGCAAATATAAATGGCAAGAACCGAGAAGAAACGAGCCTATGTTTCATTTTGTTTGACAAACTAAAAAGGCTGTCTATATTCGCCGCTAGCCCAATTGGGTACTAACAGGGTTTGGCTGGAGGTTAGTATGTATTCAATCCCTAGTGCTCTGCTCATTTGGCCAAAACAGGGGAAAAATGTTTTCTATAATTTGATTGTGGTAAATAATTTTCAGAGTTGAAATCCTCTCTTTTCTATATATATATATACATTGAAGACAATCCAGCTAGCTGTATAGCAAAAACAGGTAGCATATTTATATCACCAAGAAAATATTCATGCATCGAAAGATTTAATTAAAATGTCCAAAGTCTTAGTCAAATATTATTAATGGGAATAATATTTACAAGTCATTATCAGCTAGGCAGGTGCAAGGCCAAAATCCTTGATAAAATTTCATAAAAATGGCATCGAATTCAACCCCAAAATCAATAACAAGACTTTTGAAGAAAAGGACTTTGAAATCAAAACCTAACAACTTACCAGAAAATTCAGTCGTTACAATTCTTCTGATCATCAGTTTTTTTGACTATAAAATGCTTTCTTTTTCTAACTTAAACAAGGGACACGTTTTACAAAACCTCTTGGAATTCAACATAAGTACCGGCTGTGAAGGTTGAGAGTGTTGTCCAAGCGTTCTTCACTGTTTTTTTATTTTTATTTTTAATCTTTTCCCTTTGTTTCTTTCTCACATCAATTAGACAACATGGGGGAAGTCCTGTCTGAGGAACAGATTGCTGAGTTCCAAGAAGCCTTCTGTCTCTTTGACAAAGATGGTGATGGTATGGTTTCTTCTCTATCTTCCCCATGTTTTGGAAATAGAAACTTGAACCAATTAGACCATGAAAATAGCACCCTTATGTTAATTTTGTTTAATTATGGACTGATCATTGTTGATCAATTTATAGGCTGCATAACCATGGAAGAACTAGCTATCGCGATCAAGTCACTGGATCAGGATCCAACAGAAGAAGAGCTGCAAAACATGATCAATGAAGTTGATACTGATGGTAATGGAACTATCGAATTCGGGGAATTCTTGAATCTCATGGCAAGAAAAATGAAGGTAATATGTGTGGTGAAACTAGCTTGATAATATAGTCAATTATATGAAAATTTTATTACACTTTGCTTACAGGAAGCAGAAGCTGAAGAGGAACTAAAAGAAGCTTTCAGGGTGTTTGACAAGGACCAAGATGGCTACATATCACCTAATGAGGTTGATCCAATTCTTCTAATTAAAACCTGAAGAAAATAAAAGGGTCTCTTATATTCCGATTTGTTTTTCATGTAATTGCAGTTGAGGCAAGTGATGATCAACATAGGAGAGAAACTGACAGATGAAGAGTTGGAGCAGATGATTAGGGAGGCTGATATGGATGGAGATGGTCAAGTTAACTATGAGGAATTCGTGAGGATGATGTTGGCTGCTTGATCAAGTTTTACTTCTCCTGCAAATAACCTCAATATGTTGCAATGAATCTATATATGGAATTTGATAGTTTTCAGTGATATTCCATAATTTATGAGAAGTAACCATTAGGAAAGATGCAAAATTCATATTTTCTTCTTATAATCATATGAATTTAGTTCTAAAACACATCAAATTATTTGAATGAAGAAGGATGTGCTTAACGATTTTTGAATCTTTGGATCATGGCTTCTAAACAATTCAACCAGACAAATTTGTAAGCAATTGAAAGCTAACAACCACAAGGAAAATGAATCCAGCAAATCCTAGTTGGGCCAGGGCCAGATGAAGAATAATAATGGATTAATTAGTAAGATTATTTAAAATGAATAGGACTTCCTTGACCTTTAGCATGTAAGATTGTTACATAAGTGAGTCACAATATGGGCTTGCTCTCCATTCATAGCTAAATAAAAGCAAAATAAGAATAAATTAGTCTCAACCATTTTATCAAATTGATGAAGCATTGATGAACGAGAAAACAAATTAAAAAAAATTCATCAAATTAACCAAAATCAAGTCTAAACTAAAATATACAAGCCCAAAGATTTTATTAATTGACTGGTAATAACTAGTATTTTAAGTTTATTAATTGGCTTCAATTTGACTTGATTGATAATAAATTAAGAAACAAGTTAAAAAATAATAATAAAGAAACAAAGTCCATGCAAATGGAGCATCCATAGTCCGTACTTGCCTAACTGCTTGTTTTTTCAGCAGATGGCGGAATTCAGGGATCATATATTCTTTACCTGTACATTCACTAATCAAATTTGGTTATAAGCATTATAGTTGTGTGAGATCCATAGACAAATAATTAATTGGCATTTTGAATTTTCTTGGATAAAAAATAATATCAAGAATAAATCCCTTTTAATTACTATTCTCAAACATGTTTGGGATGCCTTCAGTTATCGAGCCAGGATGGCTAAGAACAAAAGAGTATTTGATAAGCAGACTGATAGCGTGTCATCAATCTTGCTTTTCATCAATAACGAGGTCAGTTGCAGGGTTTATGGAGCACTAACATCCTATACGTTTCGAGATTGAGATATAATATTATATTATTTTAAAATAAAATTTTAAAATAATATTAAATATTTTTTATTAGTTATTTTAAAGTTTTTTAATAAAATAATTTGTTTGAATAAAATTAATTATTTTAATTCAATTAATAATAAATTTTAATGTATCCAACTATAAAATAATAAATATAAAATTATTTTGTAATATCTCATTAGTTAATAATATCTTTAATGCTCAAGTAATCTTTTTAATTTAATCTTCTGGCCTCTCACATAATTAAGCAAGCTTATCATTTATATCATTTATAAAAGAAAAGTAAAAAAAAAAAAATGAGTAACCCTCAATTCAGTAAGTATAAATTTACACACCTTAAAAAATTAAGTTTTATTTTTATACATATCGTAAAAATCATTTAAACTATTTGTCAAATCATTTAAAATATTTGTTAAATCATAATATTAAAATATTTTAAAAATCATTATTATATCAAATATTTTGTAGATTATAAATCAATATTAAAATATGTTAATTCATAAATTATTGTGACATATACTCTCATTTAAATGTCATAATCAAATCAAATCATTAATCGATATTTATAAATCATCATCAATTCTTTTCATAATCATTATTTATACAAATTATGGATCAATTTTTTAAAATCATTACAAATAATCATAGTTATTAGTTCATCATTAGTTATGATTATTACTGTAATCTGTGACATTGGTTACATCGATAATTTTATCTTTATGATAATTACTAATTATTATAATCTGTTAGTCAGGACTTTATGCTAATTACTATAATTTGTTAGCTAGGGCTATATGATCAGAGTTATATTAACTACTATAACTCGTTAGCTAGGGCTATAAAACTAATTTTGGTGTTGATCCCACTTCTTAGGGATATAATTTCATAGCCATTATAAAATCATTATTTAAGTATAAATAATTTTTTCATTTCATTCATAAGTATAATTCATCATTTACGTAGCAAAATACAAATAATCAAATGCATGATCCTATTTTTATATACTGAAAATAAAAAAAATAAAACCTTCACTCATTTAGAAACATACATATATATAAGTTATAAAACAGGCAAAGTGTGTGAGATTCTATTTACTTCATTTCGATTCCTCCACTTAGTTTTTTTCAATGTTATGCCCTGAGACCAAGATATAATATAGTCATATAAACTTGAAGTAAAACCTTAAAGTGATATGAAGTATTCTTTTTTAATCATTTTAATCATTAGCTATGGTAACTGTTATAATCTATGATATTGACCGTATTGCTAATTTCATATTCATGATCATTGCTAATTATTATAACTCGTTAGCTAGGATCTTATGTTAACTACTATAACCTGTTAGCCAGAGCTATATAACTAATTCTGGTATCGATGATCCTATTTCTTAGGAATATAATTTCATAACTATCATAAAATCATTATTTAAGCATAAATTATTTTCTCATTTTATTCATAAGCATGATATCCATCATTTACATATCAAAATACAAAATAATCAAATGTTTGATTCTATTTTCATATACCAAAAATAAAGAAATAAAACCTTCATTTATTTAAAAACATACATATATATAAGTTCGAAAACAAGAAAGTGTGAAATTTTATTTACTTTTTTTTTTTTAATTTCATCACTTAGTTTTTCTCCTAAAATAATTAATGGCCTATTCAAGATCATTTCAACATATCAGAAATTAATCAACTTATTTTAAGACAATTTATACTAAAAATAACTAAGTTATACAAGGGTAAACTCAACTAATTAATACTGATAGATTAAGCTCTTTTCACTAAATGATCTTATCTCAAGAAATACAACTCAGAATTAAGATTTTTCTAGTGCGTTAAAAACTAGACTTAGTAAGCTTTCTAACCATATATCACCCACCTCTTAATTCCTTGTAGATTAATTATAATAATTTTGTAATTCACGTCCTATGCTATTTTCAGATAGCATATATACCTTATAGTAAAAATTAAATATTTATTCATATGGGGTTCGGAATTTAGTTTTGCTTATTTCGTTGGAAAGTAAACTCAATCTTTTTAAACATGTATGGCTCGATTCATAATTCAAAAGATAAAAATTAAGATAATCTTTGTAATTCTTTTTTACTACTACTACTAGGTAGCCTGCACATATTTAAGTTAAAATTAGACAACTCTTCATAAAAAACTCAAAATTGACTTTTATTTATTTCATTGGAAAGTATATTCAACAAGCTTTCCAATGATATATAATAATCATAGTAATAACTTATCCATTAAAATAGATTTCATTTTAATTCATTGTTATAGATAATAGCATCTCATCCAAAAATATAATTTATTCTTCAATTTTTAAAAACTAAAATCCTCACTTTCAACCTTTAAAATCCATTCAATAATCATCATTAAATCTTAATAATATGAAGCAAACAAAGCCCAATAATTTTTCCAAATAAATCATGAAAATTAATGTGAGATTTCATAATTTTTTTTGGTTTTTCTCTCAAAACATCAATTTCAAATAATAGTAATAAACACAATATTTTGTTAAATAAAAAGAGTGCATATTTAGGAAATTACTCTAATTGTAGCCTCTAATCTCAAAATCCCAACTTGAATTTTCAAACTTCCTAACCCTAAGAAAACTAGGGAGAATAACTCCTTTTTTTTTCATGATAATTAAGTTTTCTCTCATAAAATACCTCAATCACTTTTTCTTTAATAATCAATCTTTTAATTAAACTAATGGGTTTTGGTAATAGTTTAACCTAATTATCATTTGGGTTGGGGTATTACAACATCTAGTTGATAATTTAGTTTATCGGTCTCTTTGTAGTAATTGGAACCTTAATGACTTAATGTTCAATTGATCTCTTTTGTTTTCGTTATCTTTAGAGTTATGCCTATATAAACTTATTTTTTATTTTATTTTGGATGAATAAAATTACATTCATTTATCAAAAAAATAAAGAGTTAATGTCATAAATAACCTTTAACTTATAGTAAAATATTTAATATGATTTTGAACTTTAAAAATATCTAATTTGATACTTGAACTATGCATTTGCTAACTAAAATGGTATTCAACCCTAATGTAGTTCCCTTTAAATGATAACACGTGACGAACAAACAACTCTCTAAGTACTATATTAATTAACAAATTCATAATTCATGTATCAGATTAGAGATTTTTAAAGTTTAAATACTAAATTGAATATTTTACTATAATTTAAAGAGTATTCATGACATTAAACCAAAAATAAATAAAAAATTTCAGACTATTTATTTTAAGTTGTTTAGTTCTCATAAAAATGTGCTTTATTCAAGGTCGTGCATCGAAGATTAATTTCAGCAAAAGATTGTGTTTACTGTTGAGACAAATGAAGCTATTAATTAATGTTATATTTGATATACAAGATTATGATAGGATAATATAAGATAATATTATAATAGGATTATATTAAATAATATTATCCTATTTTATATTTGATGAATGTAAGGATTATGATAAGATAATTTATTTATTTGTCAAAATTATTCTTTTTCAAAATTTATATATTTTAAATTATTGATATAATTTTTAATGATATAATTGGACATATAAGTTTAATCCCACGGATTTAAAATAATTCTATCCACTTTGAGAGGATTGAATAATTCTATGCTAAGCGGATATTAATCCCCCTTATAATCATTATCTCTCTTTTTATATATAAATCAAATATAATATAAGATGATTAACATATCATCTTATTAATAATTTTATGCATCAAACATGACTTAATAATTCATCGATAAAAAACATGAAGCAACTTGCAGATTAAGTACTACAAGCATTTTGTATTTTTAACTTTAACAAAATTAAAATGAAAACATTAATTAATTAGATTCATTGCTATCGCAGGAAAAAAATTATCAACGTGATTCTATATAATATGTCAAAAGGAAAAAGGCCATTATTCTATTCAAATAGTGTAAAGTTGAAGTTCAATTATCATAAACTTTCCTCTGGTCTTCTTTCAGGCTCCGTCATGTTGAGGCTTCATCTTGCCATTGCATGGGAAAGAGAGGTGGGGAAAAAGAACAGTTTTTTACTGTAAAAGTGGAAAGAATGACTTAGAAGGAAGACTTTAAACTTAAAAAAGATACTACAAGACAAGGCTACAACAAAAATTAAAAGTGAAAGCAAAGTAAGAAATAATTAAGATATATTTATAGATAAATCAACAAAGTAATTAAAAAGTAAGAAAATATATAGATAAATTAATGTTTACTGCCATATCATGTATGGATTCTTCCTTTTATGATCTATTCCTATTGGGAAGAAGTAAGGAATTTTCTTTTGTAGTTGCTTTCTTTTTTAATTTGGTTGAAATTTATTGCACTGGCTTAGATAAAGTTAGATTCAGCCATAATTTTTTCTGGGTTCAGCTCTTAGAATTAAGCCTGATGATTTATATATTTATGTTGTCTAAAATATTAAAATTTATATATTCATATTGTGTTTTACTCAAAAATTATATGTTATAATTTATATCGATAAAAAAATATAAAATATAAATTTTTTTATTAAATCCATATAGAATTATTACTATAATTTTAAATCATGTCATTTTTATATCTTATTTTTATATAATGTTTATGTTGTATCATCGTGTCATATTTTAAATTCTTAGATCTACTTAAAATAAAGATAAATTGAAATTGGCATGGGAAATTTACCCCACAATCCCAAGAATTTTCCTTTTCCTAGAGTGTAAGGCACTCATTATACATGCTTGATTAAAGTGGATTCTAGCTAGGAATATTCTTTCACTCAACCAACGAAATCGTGATATCTTACTTGAATTCAAAATAATTCATCAGAGATAATATATATTTTTTTAACAAAAAAAGTCAGCAATTTTAAAATAGAGAAAGAAATTATATGTATTAAAAATTGAATCCATTAAATATTATTTTCTTTGAAGGTGAATTGAAGATGCTTTTTCCCATCAAGGTGCTAAAGAATCTACTTTATTAAAAAAAAAAAAAGAAATCTTAAGTATGGTAGAAGGAAATGGAAAGGAAAAAAGAAAGGAAATTAAGGAGATAAAACAAGGTTAAAATTTTTTTAATTAATATAATGGAGAGAAGATGAAAGGTTGAAAGAAATGAAAAAAATAGCAAATGTTAAAATTTGAATAATAAATTTATTAGATAATATATCTTAAACTGATAGCATAAATCAATAAAATTAAATTTCAAATTCAAATCCATTAAATTATTAGATCTCATCTTTAAATTATCTAATAAAAAAATTTTCACACCAAGAGAAATTTAGAAGCAAATAAAAAACACTGAAATTGAAATAAATAAAGAAAAATGTTTTAAAACTACTTGTTCTATGAGCACTTACCATACGAGTGAAAAATAAAAGACAGCTATCTAAACATGTACAGGTTCTTTTTGACTAGTAAGGCTTAGTTTTAAAAGTAAGAAAAAAATAGGTGTAGTAATGAGTTTAAAAACATTTAAATTGAAATTCAATTCCTATTTTAAGAAATAAAAAAAGATTTAAATACACTTAAAATTGTATATCTTTTATTTTAGGTCATTGAATAGTTTATTCAATTAAGTTGGTGTCACTTAACCTCTGATACCAAGATTGGCCAATATTTTTTTAAATGGTTAAAAATAAAAATTATTTGGATGAATTAGAATATTATTATAATTTATTAAGATTAATGAACTTCATTGTAATTAATTGAGTCAATGTATATGTAAATGCATGTATGTATCTCCGATTCAAAAAGTTGAATTCGAATATCTTTTTCAATATTAATAATAAAAAATCTTTAAAATAACTTAAACTTATGATTTTGAATTGTTTTTATCATTTTAAACTTATTTATGTATAAAAAAATAAGGTTCACAAAATAAAATTTATTTGTCACGCTCCTTCTAAGTTAAATTTCAATTTTATTTATATTAAAATGATCACGAATCGGATTTGATGTGTATTAATCCCGATTTATCTTGAATGAAATGAATTTCTCTTTCTATAAAAAAAAAATCAAGAATCAAACAAAGTCTTAACAACTGCTTCAAGAAAAAGGTGTGTCAATTGTCATGCAATCCTTAGGATACTTCTTTGACAAGAAACAACTATAGAGACAAGAGGTCACTTCAAAAGGTTTTCCAATGTCCGATTGTTTGGAAATTTATGCAAACCTTGGTTTCCACTTTAATCATCCTGTCCCACTACTTGTAACTCCTTGCAACACAAGGATGCTTCAATTAACATCACATATAGTCAAGTCAATACTTGTAGTAGAATCTGAGAAATTAACAGGAATGGTGGAAAAGGAAAGAAGAAGGAAGGCTAAAATAATAAAAACGCGTCTGAATTTTAATATTTTATTTGGATAAACCTTTATACCTTTATTGCATTATAATAAACTCTTAATCTTTACTTTATATCTAATTAAGTTCTTAAACTTTAATTTATATTTAAATAAAACCTTTAACTTTAAATTTGTACCTAAATAAATTCTAAACATAAATCAATCTTTTATTTGAAATAAGGATTTACTTAGATACAAATTAAATAATAACGATTTATTTTGATATAATAAAAGTATAAAAGCTTACCTAAGTAAAATAATAAAATTTAAGATCTCTTTTAGTATTTTAGCCAAAAAGGAAGAATAGAGTAGAAAATGGAATTTAGAAAAAAAAAGGGAGGAAAAATAATGAAAAAAGAATACTAAAGGAGACTACCAAACTAGCTAATTTCCTCATTTTCATGTCAAAACTCCAAATTTAAACTTGATCGAATTCCTTAAGAAGAGAGAAGATAATATTCGTTGAGCCATGAGGCCTTTCAATAAAAGTGATAGTGTTATAGATACTCCTAATTCTCTATCGTACACATTATTTTCAATCAAATAAATTTATTTAATTTTTTTTCTAATTTGGGAAAGAAAATTCGAAATATTCTTTAAATAAGAGACCATGCAACAGTTACTTAATCAAAAGCTTGGCTACCATGTACACTCAACATCTACAAACAAATCAAAGGGCATATGATAGGCGAGGATGGTTTAGAAAGAACTGACATAGTATTTCAACAAGCAATTAAAATTTGACAAGTGGCATAGTGAAGACATACATCAGCCACTAAATATTTGACATGGCAAATGACATAACATCTCCTATTCGATAATTTAAAAAAAAAAAAAAAAAAACCATGAATGCTATTAAATTTTGAACTACACACATTCACATAAGTATAAATATGCTTGAATAATCTTCTTCCATTTTATAAATTTCATTCTCTTTCTCAACATGATTTAAATCCAAAAATTTCTATATTAAATGTCTTAAATATGGTTATCTATATTAAGACATACAAAATGTGTGATTAAACCATTTTTCTTGTAGTCCATAGTTAAGATATAAACGTTATTGCCTTGGGAAGTTGACTCATCTCAATTACATGCATTTTTCTTAGTAATTAATTCCATAAAGGTTTCTTTTTATAAGAAAAAATTTCAAATTACCTTAGACGGAAGTTTTAAGGAAATTACATGAACATACCATTAAATCAAATGATCGAATAAACGTAAGAATTATTATTATTTTTCTAATAAAGTTTCATTGTTAGAGAATATACTAAACTTATAGACTTTGAAAGGAAGACCTTTTTTTTCTTTGAAATTTATCTTATTGTTAATGTATATCAGCTATATTTATATAACCGTTTTTGAAGAGGAAGCTACACTGTAGCTTCCTCAAACGCGTTTACTTCATCTCTGATGAAGAATTGTATCAGTATAAAACCTCCTATTCTTTTTGTCAGTACAAAGCAAAACCCTCTATTTTGTTGTTTTGTTATCTTCCTCCCCATTGTACTGATCTTGTTTGCTCATCGTGTTCTTGATCTTCCTACAGAATGTCTCTTATAAGATCGCGAAAACCGAAAGACCACATCACCATGCTACGCCAACAAGAGCCTCCACCGCCGTCCAAAAGCTACATTCGAAGGTGGCGAGTAGCAGTTACGGTCATAAGCGTTACCAGATTTCTTGTTGGCTTGACTAAGAAAGTTGTTGAAAAGAATGCTGAACTCTTGCGATCCCTTTCATTTGTTAGCATCGAAGTTGAAGGAAGTGGCGATGAACTTATCCCGATTCTCGATGTTGATCCTAAAGGTCTTGCCAAGATGGTGAAAGAGAAGAGCCTGCAAAGTTTGAGTGATCAGTATGGAGGAGTTAACCAGGTAGCTACCCTCCTTCAAAGTGATTTGAAATATGGAATCCCAGGTAATTAATTTCTTTTTCATCCACTTAGAATGGAATTTTTCGAGATTAATAAGATGATATAAATCTCATAAGATATAGTAAAAATATAAAAAAATAATTTAAACAATGAGACATATGATAGTTTTTTAATCTGTTTATAGAATTAAAAAAATTATACTGTCAGTGAACTTTATATATATATATATATATATATTTGAGTAAATACTAGGAAATATGTGAATCAATGCCATGATCTTAATTAGAGAACATAGAATTGTAAGATTATCTTCCAATGCTGTAAATTGCTTTTGCCAGTACAAATTCCATTAACTTAGAAAACATAGAACAAAGAGTTTTCAAGTATGAGAAAACGTGAGGACATCACACCGATATATACAAGCCTCTAGGCTTGACAGTCAGCAATGAAATCCAAGGTTCACTGAAACCAATCTTCTTTTGATACCTTATTGATTAAATTATGAAAGAATTATCAACAAAATATAAGAACTTGAGTTTTATTTAGTTCAGCCATAAGACCTACATCCATTGGTAGAAGAACTAAACTAGTCATAGATAATGTAATGAGTTGAACTCAAATAACACATATACATACAAACATACACACACACACACACACACACACACACACACACACACACATATATATATATATAAATCAAGGATCAATTTACTACAGTATAAAACTTTTTAGTTTTATATTTTTTTTTTATCATTGATTTCAATAGATTTAAGGAGTCAATAAATTTAAGAAATGAAATTAAATTATTTTTTTAGATTTATTGAAATCAACGGTTAGAAAAAAATTTAAAAAAATGTAAAACTTTTTGATGTAACTTAATCCCTCTCATATGTAAAAGACGTGACAATATTTCTAGGCACCCTAAAGTAACAAAAGGCATGTTAATCTTATCTCATTTACATTTATTTATGACTTAGATGAGAAGATAATATTAATTTCGTTGCAATTTTAAATATTTATTTCTAATAAAAGACTAAGGCAAAAAAATGTATAAACCGAGATTTATTTATTTATTGGACAAGAAATTGGCTGACATTAGGCATTATTGTTTCTTGGTAATTACTACTGGTAATCACAGGTGATGATGTTGACCTTGAGCTTCGAACTAAAGTTTTTGGTGCAAATAAGTACCTGAAACAACCTCCGAAAAGTTTCCTTAGCTTTGTTCTGGAAGCATTCAAAGATACCATCATTATCATACTTTTGGTCTGTGCTGTCCTCTCTTTAGGCTTTGGAATCAAACGGCATGGCCTGAACGATGGTTGGTATGATGGTGGGAGCATCATTGTAGCTGTCGTTTTGGTTATTGTTGTCTCTGCTGTGAGTAATTATAGGCAAAGTAAACAATTTGAAGAGCTTTCTCATGAAAGCAGCGACATACGTGTGCAAGTAGTGAGAAACGGGAGATACCATCCTGTATCTATCTTTGACCTTGTGGTGGGCGATATCGTGTCTTTGAAGATTGGTGATCAGATTCCAGCTGATGGTTTGTTTGTTCAGGGTCATTCCTTGAAGGTCGACGAGTCCAGCATGACTGGAGAAAGTGACCATGTAGAAGTTGGCGAAAAGAGGAATCCCTTTTTGCTTTCTGGTACAAAGGTCACAGATGGCTATGGTTACATGCTAGTCACTTCTGTTGGCATGAACACAGTATGGGGTGAGATGATGAGTTCTATAAGGCGTGACTTGAAAGAGGAGACTCCATTACAAGCCCGCCTCAGCAAGCTGGCTTCTAATATTGGGAATATTGGATTGTCTGTGGCAGTACTTGTTCTTTTGGTTTTGCTTATCCGTTACTTTACAGGACACACCAAAGACGAGAATGGAAAAAGGGAATACAATGGGAGCAAGACCAAGTTTGATGATGTGATGGATTCAGTTGTTGGCATTATTGCAGCAGCAGTCACGATTGTAGTTGTGGCGATTCCAGAAGGTTTGCCTCTAGCTGTCATTCTAACTCTGGCTTATTCAATGAAGCGGATGATGAGGGATCATGCCATGGTTCGGAAACTCTCTGCTTGTGAAACCATGGGCTCGGCCACCGTAATATGTACTGATAAAACTGGCACCCTTACACTAAACGAGATGACGGTAACAGAATTTTGGCTTGGAAAAGAACTGATTGAAAATTCTCTGAGCTCAGAGATAGCAGCTAACGTTCTCCAATTATTAAGTGAAGGCGTTGGTTTAAACACTACTGGCACTGTTTTCAAACCTGATTCCACATCAGTTCCTGAAATTCATGGTAGTCCAACCGAGAAAGCAATACTTTCCTGGGCAGTGATTGATTTGGGCTTGAATATTGACGAACTGAAACAAAGTTGTGAAATAATACATGTTGAGGCCTTCAATTCCGAGAAAAAGAGAAGCGGGGTTCTGATAAGGAGAAGCAATGAAAGAGTGCTGGCAACACACTGGAAGGGAGCACCTGAAATGATACTGGCCATATGTTCATATTATTATGACAAAACTGGAATATCAAAGGCCATGAATGATGAAGAAAGAATAGAGATTGGAACTATTATTGAGACTATGGCAGATAAAAGACTGAGATGTATTGCCTTTGCACATGCAAATGTAACAGATGGAAATGAACAGATTCATACAAAGCTTGAAGAAACAGGACTGACCTGGTTGGGCCTTGTTGGCCTGAAGGATCCATGTCGGCCAGGTGTCAAAGAAGCAGTAGAATCTTGCAAAAAAGCGGGAGTAAGCATCAAAATGATCACTGGAGACAACATGCATACAGCAAGGGCCATAGCTTTTGAATGTGGAATTCTCGATTCTGATGACAATTTGCACAATGAAGCTGTAATAGAAGGTGAAAAATTTAGAAATTACTCAGATGAAGAAAGAAAGGGAAAGATTGAAATTATCCGAGTAATGGCTCGATCATCACCTTTTGACAAACTTCTAATGGTACAGAGCCTGAAGATGTATGGGCATGTAGTAGCAGTCACTGGAGATGGTACAAACGATGCTCCTGCTTTAAAAGAAGCAGATATTGGGCTTTCCATGGGTATTCAAGGAACTGAAGTGGCAAAGGAGAGCTCAGATATTGTCATTTTGGACGATAATTTCACCTCTGTGGCAACAGTTTTGAGGTGGGGTCGATGTGTCTACAACAACATCCAAAAGTTTATTCAATTTCAGCTCACAGTGAATGTTGCTGCCTTGGTCATCAACTTTATTGCTGCTGTATCTTCTGGAGAAGTCCCACTAACTGCAGTCCAGTTGTTGTGGGTGAACCTTATAATGGACACCTTGGCGGCACTAGCCTTGGCCACTGAGCAACCTACCAATGATCTCATGGACAAGCCACCTGTGGGTAGAACCGAGCCACTTATAACCAAAGTTATGTGGAGGAACCTCATTGCTCAAGCCCTCTATCAGGTAGCTATCTTACTGATCTTGCAATTTAAAGGTAAATCCATTTTCAGTGTCACTGAGAAGGTTAAAGATACCTTGATATTCAATACATTTGTTCTCTGTCAAATCTTTAATGAGTTTAATGCAAGAAATCTGGATAAGAAGAACATATTCAAGGGGATACATAAGAACAGGTTGTTTTTGGGAATTATCGGAGTTACCCTGGTCCTACAAGCAGTAATGGTGGAGTTTCTCAGTAGGTTTGCCAATACTGAGAGGCTGAATTGGGAGCAATGGGGGGCTTGCATTGGCATTGCTGCTCTATCCTGGCCAATTGGTTGGTGTGTTAAGTGTATTCCTGTACCTGTTGACAAGCAGCTACAAAAGCAAATGGCTTCGGCATCATGAAGTACATAGAATTATTAGATTTTTTTTTTTTGGTTGCCCTCTGGTTTGTTAAATTGACAAATAATATTTTGCTTTGTCGGTAGTCATAGATTTCGTTTTAGAACAATTTGTTTTACAAAACATTCCTTGACAGTGCCGTATATATCTAGCTCCTAGTTATCACATCATTTGGTTATATATGACTGGAATTTTCTGTAGATTTTTGGGGTCACTTTGACTGCTTTCATATTTAACTAGTTACTTTACCCGCGCTTCACTACAGGTCAACAGATTTCACTCAAAATTTGTTTATAATTTTTTTTCTTCTCCTCTAAATTTTTTGTCTTAATCAATTTCTTAAAAATTAACTTTAAATTTGTAGATCTAATTTTAAAAACGTGATTTTTTCATCACTATTTAACCTCATATTTATTGATTAAATCTCTTGAAATTTTAGTATTTTACTCTCCTCTATTTGCTCTTTTTTTTTTTCACTTACTCAAATTTTTACAAAAATAAAATTACAGCCGTGAACCACCATTGTCACCTTTATTGATGGTGGCTTTGGTTCATTAGAAAATTTTATAAAATCTTACAAAAAGTGTTGGAAATACTTTTTGCAAAAGCTTATGAAAATATTCTAATAAAATAATTTAAATTTACTTTTTTATTAAATATTTAATAAAAATAAAAGTTGGTGAAATAAAAAAAATAAAAATAAAAACAAAAACGAAGTTGTTAGGTTTGATAAATTATGGTGCGTTGGGCTTTAAATAAATTGAGAGATAGTGGGTTGGACTTTAATTGGATTTTGAAAAAAATGTGTGTTTGTTTGATGGGAATTTGTAATTGAGTGTGTTTTTCATTGGTTATGTGAACTTGTAATTAATTTTGGTTTTATGAGTTTTGATTTTTTGTATCATTTATTATCTGTAATAAAGTAAAATGAAAATTAAAATCTTAAAAATATAATAATAAATATATATAAATAGAAAAAGTTATAAAAAATTAAGTTACTTTTCTTAAATTTTTTATTTCTTTTATTTTAAATGTTTTTACAAAAAATAATTATAATATCTAATAAATTAAAAAAGCATACATTTCATCAAATGATTAATAAAAAATGCAACATGAAAATTTGCAAAGAAAATTTAATCGCATTATATGAAATATTATATATTTTAAATTTTATAATATATTTTTCTTTTATTTTTTATATTAAAATAATTACAAATATATTTAACATAATAAAAAAATTAACAAAAAAAGTCTACCTTGAAATTAATTATAGTATTTATTAACTTAAGTCTCAGGATAAATTTTTTTTTATGAATGTGGTGCTCTCATAATGCCAAGTTTATAATTTTGATCAACAATTGTTTGCCATTTGCTGCTAACTGGATGCCATTTGGCAAGAAACAGTGGATCCTTTTTGTTTTAATGGGTAGAATTTTTTTTTTTTTTTGCCCATTTTACTTTGTTTCAATGAAAAAAAAATTAAGCCTTACCATCACCTATTTCTCTATTTTTTTTTCTTCTTTAAACTTCATAATTTAGAGGTTTGTTAATTGGTTTTTATTTATTTATTTATTTGTTTAAACTAGAATCATCTTTACTATAGCAAACAAACAACACAATTCAACAAACCAAAAAAAGTGATTTTGGGTTTTGTGATTTGGGGCTTTGGGAGAGAGTAGCAGTAAAAATAAGGGCAATGAGTTGATTTTGAAATTTAAACTTAGGTTTTGGTGAGAATAGTTTCAAAATACCAAGTTGAAAAAAGAAGTAGAAAACGAATTTTTTGGTGATTTTCAGATTTCATACGATGGCAGAAAGCTTTTGGGTAAAGTTTTGTTGAGGTTTTTGTTGGTATGGGTGGTAACCACTAACCAGATGTCAATGGTGATGAAGGGAGGCTGTTGTGTTGGACTGGAAAAAAAAATTGCTTGTGTTTTCTATTTTTTAGGAGTTGATAGCGTCAGCTGTTTGCTGACATAACAATTATTTGATGATTTGGATGAGCAATAAAAATGTAAATTTGAAGCTGAGGACAGTTTAATTTTTCAAGGGATAACTTTAATATATTGTTATAGATTATTGTAAAATGCATGAAAATGTGCTTTTCAGAAACTCGTAGACTAAAACTCACAAGGAAAGTACAATCTTCAAACTACTAAATATTGTGTTCTCAGAAAGTGCTTACATTACACTGGTGGCTTGAATTGAAGAAACTGGCAGTCAAAACATGATGAAAAACATCCTGGAAAGTTAAACAAAGCATCTTTAGACAAATATAATATATATATATATATATATTATTAGTGGAATAAAAAAAAAAAAGAAAGCTCCTGATTTGTTGGTGTAAGCAGGTGTCAAAGGGTAGACGGCATTTTGATCAACAGATTGGCTGCAATTATGCTCAATGTCTGATTTCCTTTCAATGTGAGAAATGGAAATTTCAAAACAAAACACACTTTTAACTACCAATGGAAGGTCGGCTCTTTCATCAACTATTATTAACTTACATCATCTAGTTTGCACAACACCTATTAACAGTTCCCTAGTTTCTCCCTTTTAAACAACTTGGGCCAAAAGCTTTTGCTTTTAGTTGTGAAATTGGAAGAAAATGATAAAGAGCAGATTCCAGGAAAACATAGTAAAAAAGTTTCTTCAAACTAATGTGATGTGGAAGTAAAGTGTTATTCTTTCATTCTTTGAGTGTTGCAACCATATCAGAATCCTAGACTTCATCTTCACTCCCAATGGAAGAGGAAAAAGAAAAGCAACAAAAAGGGCTAAGAAGGGGAGGTGAAGGTGCTAAGAGATTGCCAGAGAACTATAATTAGGGCATTTATGCTTGAAAAAGATTGGACTGCATATGGCATCAAACTACAATGGTAGATAAACCATAAACATAGCACAGGAAATAACAAAGGATGACTCATTCATTCTCCAAATTGGAAATCAACAAGGAAAAAACCATAATTAAGTGGTATTGGTAATTCAATTGGAAACTCAATCTTTCCCACTACTCTATAATGTTTTAAATAGTCTTCAATATATTTTTGTTGATGATATTTTATAAATAAAAAAAGTAATCAAATAAAATATTTATTTTTTTTTACTACTAGAAGCATTATTTGTCATTTGGGTATTTATTATTAATAAAAATTAATAAAAAGATTATCATCATATATGTCAAGTAAATTATAATAATTATTTAAAAATTAATATATGTGAATTATTCTTAATCAAATGAGTGATTTAAATACGAGATACCTTGAAAAAAAAATATATCGTACTTTTTTGAAAATCATATATTTTTTTTAAATCTAAAGTTTTACGAACTAAACGTCTTCTAAAAAGGAAAATAACATGAAAGAATTGCAATAATGAAAATAAATATATGATCAGTTTCTCCAATTTCTTCCTTAATTATCCGATCATGAAATAATGCTCTTACAAACCAAAAAGAATCAAAATGAATGGAAGAAACAAGCAAATCTCTAAAAGAATCTCATAGTTTATACTGTTGGATTATAATCTCAGGTTAGCTGCTGCTATAATCCGAAATCATTAACTCAATTGAAAGCACACAGGCATAATTATGTCAACAAATGTTATCAAAATGATGTATATTTTCAATAAATGACAATTTTTTATCCTAACTACAATCATCGTCACTTACAAAGACGATTAAACAAATGGCAAACCTTCAACACTTTTTCATTTTTTGCAGGTTTGATGGTTGAAGTGGGGACCAGGAAATGACTGCCCATTTCTTGGTCATGTTTGGTCCTTGGAACTACTGCTAGCTATTACTTGTAATATGTATTGTGGTTGTTCAATCAAAGTACTTCTTGTGATTTTCTTGGAACCTCCAAAATTTCAGGTCCTAAATAAAACATCTCTCAGCTGCCCAAAAATAAATAAATGAATAAAACATCTCCCACAATTCTTCCCTTCTCACAAATTCAAACAAGAAACTTTTAAACACTTATACTTTCTTGGTGATGGATTTAAAATTTCTTTTTAAAAAATTTTCTTATAATATATATATATATATAATATCAATAAATTTATTAATTTTATAGATATAAATGTGTTCACGAAAAAATTTTAAGGTATTCCAAATTTTTTCTTGAAATTTTTTTGTTTTTCACTTTTTAAGATATAAAGATAATTTTTGAAATTATCAAAAAAAAATTTTTTTAATTTTTTAATTTTGGATTATTCATAAATACTTTAAATGTTCATTTGGATCCGCCTTGCATAATTTTATATCGATGCTCCTATCAACATTAATTAAAAATTACAAGTGAAAAACGGATTTTAAAAAATTTAAACATGTAACATTTTTATTAAGTAAATGAAATAGATAGAGATTGATTGTTAAGTGTAAATTAAATTATAAAAAAAAAAAAGAGAAAAAAACTATGGGTAGGAATTTATATGAAAATTAGGAGACAAAGACAAATAACTTTAGCTACGCGGAGTTTGTTGTTTGAGTAACTTTAAATCCAAACCTCTTTCTTTTCCATAGACTTCAGGGAACTACTTTGAACTTAAGGATATAATAAAAAAACAAAATATTCTA